CCATTGGCTTAGCTGCTCCTCACGAGCATCTTCCTGCCTTTACTGCTCAGGACGAGCCTGACGTCCAGAGTGGCGAGGGGACCTCCCTCTGCACGGGGGGGCCAGAAAGCCCGCAGGCTCCAGGAGCAGCTGCGACCCCCGGTCCCAGGGACAGGCTGCGGGTCTCAGCCTCTTGGAGGCGGCGCAGGGCCACTGATCCTCCTCCTGTCGTCGGGTGACAGCTGGTCAAGAGGCGGGAGAGGGCACTGTCTAAGAAGTACACCGTCAAGCCCCCCAGGGACCTGAGCAGCAAGTTTGAGCAGGAGCAGGAGATCAAGAAGCAGCGGGAGATCCGAGCCCAGGAGCAGAAGCGGCTGCGGGAGGAGGAGGAGCGCCTCTTGGTGGGTCCCCAGCTTAGCCGTCAAGGAGGGACTGCTCAGGATGGGGAAACAGGCACAGGTCATGGAAGGGATCCCCAAAGCTGCCCCACAACCATCCCCCATCTCTGCCTGGCCATGTGGGAATCTCCCACTGGTGGTCAGCCCCCTTCTGATGACAGGTTTCTCACACCAGAGCGCTCTGCCGCCTGGGCAGCTGTTTTGTGCCAGGCAACTCCCGTGCTCTCCTCGTTCCAGACTTTCACTGGAGACGTGCCTACACACACCCTCCCCCCATCCTCCCACCATCCATCCTGTCATCCCTCCTCCCATCTCTCCTCTCATCTACCTTCCCATCCATCCCTCCTCCCATCTTGCCTCTCATCCATCCTTCCTCCCATCCATCCTCCCACCTCTCTTCATCCCTCCTCCCACCGATCCTCCCATCCATCCTTCCTCTCATGCATCCTCCCACCTCTTTTTTCATCCATCCTCCCACCATCCATCCTATCATCCCTCCTCCCATCTCTCCTCTCATCTACCTTCCCATCCATCCCTCCTCCCATCTCGCCTCTCATCCATCCTCCCACCTCTCTCTTCATCTCTTCTCCCACTGATCCTCCCATCCCTCCTCCCATCTCTCTTCTCATCCCTCCTCCCATCCATCCCCCCACCCATCCACTCTCCCATCCATCCTGTCATCCCTCCTCCCACCGATTCTCCCATCCATCCTTCCTCTCATGCATCCTCCCACCTCTTTTTTCATCCATCCTCCCATCCATCCATCCTGTCATCCCTCTTCCCTCCCATCCTCTCATCCATCCATCCTCCCATCTCTCCTCTCATCCATCCTCCCATTCATCCCTCCTCCTATCCATCCTCCCACCCATCCATCCTGTCACCCCTCCCTATCTCTCCTCCCATCCATCCACCCTGCTATCCATCCTCCCCTCCTCCCCTCCTGCCATCCATCCATCCTCCCATCTCTCCTTCCAACATCCATACTCCCATCCCCTTCCCCCTTCCCACCTTCCTTCTTTCCTTTCCTTCCAGAGAGTATGTGCTGAACTTCTCCTCTGGCCCAGGCCCTGGGGATACAATAATGAACATGATACAGTCACATTTCTCCCAGAGGGAGGCAGATAAAGAAGCCACATGGTGTCCCATTATCTTTCTGTGGATGAAACCGCACTCGGAATCACAAAGCCAGCAAAGCCTAGATATCCAGAGACCCGAAGAGTTCATTTTGTAAACCACAGATCTAGTCAGATCCTCATATTGTATTGATTTTTAAAATGGGGTTGGGGGGAGACAGTCACACGGCCAGCCAACGGTGTACTCTGGATCAGAATTCAGTTCTCCTGCCGGTTCCCCAGGCCTGGAGAGACGTCTGAGCCCCTGACGCCCCCCTTCCCACCCATCTGGCTCATGGTCACCCACCTTTCCTACGCAGGAGGCAGAGAAGGCAAAGCCTGACCCCCTGCACGGCCTGCGGGTGCACTCCTGGGTCCTCGTGCTGTCGGGCAAGCGCGAAGTGCCCGAGACCTTCTTCATCGACCCGCTCACAGCGCGCAGCTACAGCACCCAGGACGACCGCTTCCTGGGCATCGAGAGCATCTGGAACCACAAGAACTACTGGATCAACATGCAGGACTGCTGGAACTGCTGCAAGGTCCTGACGGGGGCTGGGTGGGAGTGGCAGGCGCCGTGGGAGGGGGAGAGAGGGGAGACCTTGGAGACAGCTGGCCCCAAGGCCACAGAGCTTTGGACTTTCCCCACAGCTGAGTCCCCATAGCCACTCCCTTGCCCGTAAATAACCCTTTCTGATGTGATTATTGTCCCTCTTTTGATTTGTATATCCTTTTAAAATTTGGATTGAGTGCATTTTTTAAAACTTTGAAGTATAACATACATGCAGAAAAGGGCATTCATTCATTAAACACACAGCTCAACGAATTCCCATGAATCGAACATAGCCCAGATCCCTGCACCAGATCGGGAAACAGAACATTGCCCAGACCCCAGAAACCCCCTTGTGTCCAGCCTTCCCCAGAATGTGTTTTTAACTTCTGTAGATGGCACTGAGACACACACACGAGAGTGTACAGAGGACAGCATCATCCTAAGTGTGCATCTCACATCCGCATCCCGGACAATACTGGATATTTTCTGTCTTTTTCATTTCAGCTATTCTAGTGGATATGCAGTGATAGTGCATTA